GCAGAAGTCAGTCTCCTCAGCTGACTTCTGCAGGCAGCCAGGAGAAGGGCTTGAGGACTTGGAGACCTCAAACCAAAGCCAGTTTGGCTTACATAGTATAGGCCAAAACTTCATAGTAAGACCTTTTCTTTTTCTTTTCTTTTTTTTTTTTTTCTTTTTAGTTTCAAGATAGGGCTTCTCTGTGTAGCCCTGACTGTTCTGGAACTCACACTGTAGACCATGCTGGCCTCCAACTCAGAGATCCACCTGCCTCTGCCTCCTGAGTGCTGGGATTAAAGGAGTATGCCACCATCTCCCAGATAATATCTTATATTGAAAGAAAGAAATAAAAGAAAGAGAGGGGGAAAGGAAGAAGAGAGGGAGGGAGAAGAGGAAGAAAGAAAGAAAGAAAGAAAGAAAGAAAGAAAGAAAGAAAGAAAGAAAGAAGAGAGAAAGAGAGAGAGAAAGAGAGAGAGAAAAGAAGGAAGGAAGGAAGGAAGGAAGGGAGGGAGGGAGGGAGGGAGGGAGGGAGGGAGGAAGGAAGGAAGGAAGGAAGGAAGGAAGGAAGGAAGGAAGGAAAGGATGAAGGGGGAAGGGAGGGAGGCTGAAGAGATGGCTCAGTGGTTAAGAGAACTGAGTATTCTTCCAAAGGACAAAGGTTCTATTCCCAACACCAACATGGCAGTTCACAACCATCTGTAACTCTGATACCAGGAAAACCAATGTCCTCTTCTGCCTTCCACTGGTACTGCATACACATGGTGCACAGATATACAAGCCAGAAAAACACCCATAAATATAAAAATCTAAAAAAGTTAAAATTAAAAAAATTCTAGAAATGGTCGCATACTACTTTAATTCCAACACTCAGGAGACAGAAGCAGGAAGATCTCTGTGATTTGGAGGCCAGTTTGGTCTACATAGAGTAAGTACCAAGACAGCCAGGGCTATATACAGAGAGACCTTGTCTCAAAAAACTAAAAATAAAACAAATCAACAAACAAACAAATAAATAAGAAAAACAACCTCCTCCAAACCAAATTTAAAAAAATTAATTTAAGCCTTGTAGTTATGGTGAACATCATTAATCCCAGAACTCAGGAGGCAGAATAAGGTGAATCTAATCTAGGCCAGCCTGGTCTACAGAGTGAGTTCCAGGACAGCAAGGGCTACACAGAGAAACCCTGCCTTAGGAAAAGAAAAAGAAAGAAAGGAAGGAAGAAAGAGAGAGAGAGAGAGAGAGAGAGAGAGAGAGAGAGAGAGAAGGAAGGAAGGAAGGAAGGAAGGAAGGAAGGAAGGAAGGAAGGAAGGAAGGAAGGAAGGCAAGCCAGCGAATTAAAACTTTGGCAACCAATTTTATGACCTCAAGAAATTATTGCCGGGCAGTGGTGGCACACGCCTTTAATCCCAGCACTTGGGAGGCAGACGCAGATGGATTTCTGAGTTCGAGGCCAGCCTGGTCTACAGAGTGAGTTCCAGGACAGCCAGGGCTACACAGAGAAACTCTGTCTCGAAAAACCAAAAATAAAATAAAATAAAATAAAATAAAGAACTATCAGCAACTCAGGGACGCTGAGAGCCAGAGAAACAGTTTTCAACCAGGAGGAGCACATCAACTGATTACTCAATACCAAAAGGTCAGCCCTGACACCACATGAGTACATTATACAGACTGAGCCGGTTACATTTAGAAATTATATACATATATATGCATATAATAGCAATTCATGAAAAAAGATGCCAAGAATTTAAAAGAAACTAGGAAGATTTGGAGAAAGGAAAGAAAGGGAGAAATGATTCAGTTATATAATAATCTCAAAAATCAAAGAAAAAGACTTTAGGCTTTTATTTTTTAAGTGCCTCTGGCAATGTAACAAATTATTTAAACCTTTTCTTAAGTGTACAAAATTTAAAAACATTTGAGGAAATTGTTGACCTAAAAGATCAAGTAGGAGCCGGGCAGTGGTGGCACACGCCTTTAATCCCAGCACTTGGGAGGCAGAGGCAGGCGGATTTCTGAGTTTGAGGCCAGGCTGGTCTACAGAGTGAGTTCCAGGACAGCCAGGGCTACATAGAGAAACCCTGTCTCAAAAAACCAAAAAAAAAAAAAAAGAAGAAGAAGAAGAAGAAGAAGAAGAAAAAAGAAAAGAAAAAGATCAAGTAGGAAGTAGGAAAGTGGGAAAGACGGGAGAGATACACAGACAGAGAGAAACAGAGTGAGAGACATACATATACCAAGGCTCTATATTATACAAATTTCCTATCACAAAACAGAAGGAAGGTACAATTACCTTTGCTAAACTGATCACAACTTCAGGGAGCTTAGGATAGCGGCTCTCCAGAGGTTCTGCTTCTGTGTCTTTGATTTCAGGCAACCTTACTCCAGCAAACACAGGATTTTTATAAAACAGTTCCTGGTGTCTTGGAATTAAATTACCTAGGAGGAAAAAACAGTATACATCTTTGTCAGTATAGTTAACAGAAATGGTAGAGAGACAGGTGGTGGAGAGGAATTAGAAACAGAGTGTAAGAGTCTCTCAGCAAGATCAACCTAAAACAAACCTGTTAACACAATGGCACTTGTAAGTCTTTATAGTGCTCTTGACACAAAACAGCACAAGGAAATGAACACTGATTTTGAAACATATTCATCGAAGATTTAAATACAACTATAAGCAGAATTAATTGTGAAGACAATACAGTTAAAAGATATCTTGTGCCATTCTAGATGAAGTACTGCAACTTCCAAGAGTAAAATGTACCATCCTGACCCCAAACAAAGAATTCATGGTCACATAGACAGAATCTATTGTAGGCAAATCACTTCTTCCCTCTAAGAATTTAATTTTTGTTCAACAGACTGTGTACCTATATCTGATTAGATTTGAGCATTTTACCCTTTATCTCAATTTTAATACCTATTATATCATGAGCTGTATAAATGAAAAATTTTAATTTTATAAACCTTTTATTATACTTAAACTACAAATAATATATAACTACAATATTGATGAAATAGTAAAAAGATTAATATATGCATTCAGAACAGATGAAATCCCTCTGTTCTTTCTCCTTCCTCCCTATAATACAACAGTGATATAAAAAATTCTACTATAAGAAATCATATAATATTTCATAAATTCTTTTTTTTTAATTTTTTTATTGGATGTTTTATTTACATTTCATATGTTGTCCCCTTACCCCATCAGAGCAGCTGGTAAGAACTCCATCTCACTCCCTAAGCCCCAGAGATACATCTGGGAACCAGGGACATTCAGGACACAGCAGCTACCCAAACCCCGCCCCTCCGGAATTCCACTTCCCTTCCACCCCTGTCTGGTCCTTTAGGCTGGGACAGACACAGAGTTGGTCTGCTCCTGTGGAGATACTGAATCCTGAGTCATCCTAGAGAAGCCACTGCACTCAGAGCAGCCAACACAGAGTTAGTCTGCCCCTGTGGAGATACTGAATCCTGAGCCATCCTCGAGGAGCCACTGCACTCAGAGCAGCAGACACCAAGGTGGTTTGCACTTGGGAGACATCGTATCCTGAGCCATCCTAGAGGAACCACTGCACCCAGAGCAGAAGGATTTCCAGATCCAAGAGGTGGCCTGAGTCCCAGGAGTTCTTCCACCCAGGAGATTAGGATCATAAGACCACAGAGACAGCTGGACTCTGAGGAGCTCTGCAACAAGCAAGATAACTGGAAATACAGACTCCACTCTTACACAGTGAGGGCAGGTAACACTAGAGTTAACCAGATGGTGAAAGGCAAGCGCAAGAACATAAGCAACAGAAACCAAAGTTTCTTGGCATCATCAGTACCCAGTTCTCCCAATATAACAAGCCCTGGACACCCCATCACACCTGCAAAGCAGGATTCAGAATTAAAATCACTTCTCATGATGATGATAGAGGATTATAAAAAGGAATTAAGTAACTCCCTTAAAGAAATACAGGAGAGTACAAGTAAACAGGTAGAAGCCCTTAAAGAGGAATCACAGAAATCCCTTAAAGAAATGCAAGATAACACAAAGAAGGAATTAAACAAAAACATTCAGGATCTGAAAATGGAAATAGAAACAATAAAGAAAGCTCAAAGGGATACAACCATGGAGATGGAAAACCTAAGAAAGAGATCAGGAGTCATAGACGCAAGCATCACCAACCGAATACAAGAGATAGAAAAGAGAATCTCAAATGCAGAAGATACAGTGGAAAATATTGACACAGTTGTCAAAGAAAATGCAAAATGCAAAAAACTCCTATCTCAAAACATCCAGGAAATCCAGGACACAAGGAGAAGACCAAACCTAAGGATAATAGGTATAGATGAGAATGAAGATTCCCAACTTAAAGGGCCAGTAAATATCTTCAACAAAATTATTGAGGAAAACTTCCCTAACCTAAAGAACAAGATGCCCATAAACATACAAGAAGCCTACAGAACACCAAATAGACTAGACCAGAAAAGAAATACCTCCCGTCACATAATAATCAAAACATCAGATGCACAAAACAAAGAAAAAATACTAAAAGCAGTAAGGGAAAAAGGTCAAGTAACATATAAAGGCAGACCTATAAGAATTACACCAGACTTCTCACCAGAGACTATAAAGGCCAGAAGAGCCTGGACTGACATCATACAGACCCTAAGAGAACACAATTGCCAGCCCAGATTACTATACCCAGCAAAACTCTCAATCACTATAGATGGTGAAACCAAGATATTCCATGACAAAGCCAAATTTGCACAATATCTTCCCACAAACCCAGCACTTCAAAGGATAATTGATGGAAAACACCAACACAAGGAGGGAAACTACAACCTAGAAAAAGCAAGGAAGTAATCTTCTAACAACCCCAAAAGAAGATAACTATACAAACATAACTTTACCTCTAATAACAAAAATAACAGGAAGCCACAGTCATTTTTCCTTAATATCTCTTAACATCAATGGTCTCAATTCCCCAATAAAAAGACGCAGACTATCAGACTGGATACACAAACAAGACCCAGAATTTTGCTGCATACAAGAAACGCACCTCAGTGACAAAGACAGACACTATCTCAGAATAAAAGGGTGGAAAACAATTTTCCAAGCAAATGGTCCCAAGAAACAAGCTGGAGTAGCCATTCTAATATCAAATAAAATCGACTTTCATCCAAAATTAATCAGAAAAGATAAGGAAGGACACTTCATACTCATCAAAGGAAAAACCTACCAAGGTGAACTCTCAATTCTGAACATTTATGCTCCAAATGCAAGGGCACCTACATACATAAAAGAAACTTTACTAAAGCTCAAAACACACATTACACCTCACACAATAATAGTGGGGGATTTCAACACCCCACTCTCAGCAATGGACAGATCATGGAAACAGAAACTAAACCGAGACACTTTGACATTAACAGAATTTATGAACCAAATGGACTTAACAGACATCTATAGAACATTTCATCCTAAAACAAAAGAATATACCATAAATTCTTAATCTCAAAACTTAAAATCAAATAATTAAATTATCCCAAGTGTCTTCCTATTTTTTCCATTTTAAAATCTATCTTAGAACATGAATTATACATTCTAACAAATGTAAGCCTCAGACACTACCTTTAGAATTTCACCCAAAGCACTAAGAACAAAAGGCAAAATCTCGCCGGGCGGTGGTGGCACATGCCTTTAATCCCAGCACTTGGGAGGCAGAGGCTGGCGGATTTCTAAGTTCGAGGCCAGCCTGGTCTACAGAGTGAGTTCCAGGACAGCCAGAACTACACAGAGAAACCCTGTCTCAAAACAAAACAACAACAAAAAAAAAGCAAAATCTGGGAAGCTAGGCATGGTGATGACATCCATGGTCACAGGCATGGTGAGCACATCTGTAGTCACAGGCATGGTAATGGACATCTGTGGTCACAGCCTTTGGGAAGCTGATGCAGTAAAGACTTAAGAGGCTTGGGCAGAAAGATGGAGAGTTTGAGGACATCCTATCCTTCACAGTAAGACCCTTGTCTCAGAAAATATATGAAAAACCTAAAATTCAAATGCAAGGCAACATTAAGCTATCTCATAAGTCTTTGTTTCTCTCATCTTATCCTGGAGATGAAGATGAGGATGAAGAGGATATGCTCACTGACTCAGGGATAAAAGTGATGAGGACATCTTTGCTGTTGAGGGGCTGGAGGTGAGAATATACAGAATCAGGCTCCTGGGTACTAGGATCTTCTGAGTTACTTCTCAGTTCTCACTACACTGCCTTATAATTTTTGCAACATTTTAAAATCAGCAGTGACTTTGAGCAACTTCAAGGTAGTTGACTGCATGCTATTATAATCTTTGATAATATAGTTTTTAAATTTTCCTGCCTATTAGATTTATAATTCTACTTACCTTCAGCAACCACTTCCTTCTCTTTTATACTGATCAGCTTTGCTAGAAGGTCAGTGTGTATGTATGCATGTGTGTGCACACACATGTATGTGTGGGTATGTGTAGTGTGTGCATATGTGTACATGCATGTGTATGTATGTGGTAGGCATATGTGTGTATGTGTTTTCTATTTGTTCCTTACCTTCACCTAAAATAACCATTATCTTTAATATATGAACAACTTAAAAAACAATAGAAACACACACAGGAAAAAAACCTATAAAACGTAAAGCACAGATGTATAATCTTACCTAAACATGTCATAATATGATGTAGCTGATCAATATCAGATTCTCCCGGAAACAGCGGTTGCCCCATAAGCATTTCAATGACCAGACAACCAATGGCCCAGATATCAACAGCCCTGCAAACAAAATGTTCCATGATGAAAACCATGGTGTCCCGACGTCTGCCCATGCCTGCATATTCTATGGCATTTCACTAGGTTGTTATTTCTAGTTTTGAAAGGCAAGATAGTAGGTCTTGTAACTTAAAAGCTACTTCTAGCCTTCTATTTTAATAAGTGAGATTTCCAGAAACTTCAACCATGTGATTTTAAAGGAGAAAGATTATGGAAAGCCTTACAGGAACTGTAAACTTTTTAAAGAATTTTCAAGAAGAAAGGGATCATTACAACTCACTTAGTAACACTGAACCCAGGCCTTCCTTTCAGTGTTAAACGGATCGTCTATTACAATCACATCCCTCTTTCAAAGAGTCAGCGTCCACACTCTGTCATTCCTGACTCTTACTTGCCATACTTGACATCACCGACCAGCAGTTCTGGAGCTCTGTACCACCGGGTGGCCACGTAGTCAGTATAAACCTCCCCAGGAGCTGCCAATGTCCGTGCAAATCCAAAGTCACATAATTTTACAACACCAGACTGGGAGACTAATATATTCTCAGGCTTTATATCTCTGTGTATGATCTAAGACAAAGAAAATCCACAGAGCATAAAATGTTAAATAAAAAATATTTTATTAGGGGTACTTGCCACAAGCAGTACCAGAATACAACACACAGAAAGTTGCTCCAGGGCTTAAAGCCCTGGGACTTAGTGGGACAAAAGAGAACACTCATGTCTCAAGCACTGTTAAACTAGCAAAAATACTGAGTAAAGCTCATTATCATTAACTAACAGATCAACTTTCAGTCACTCACACTGTCAAGACTAAGAAATAAACTGGTTGTTGAAAACTAAGGATAGTCAATGAAAATTCAAGGAAGAGATAAGCTTTGTGATGGATTTTAATACACTACTACATTAGCAAACACTTGACCATATATAAACCATTTTACATACTTTAACATAGTTTGTCCACACAACAACCCTGAAACAGGTACTAGTACACTTTCTACTTGCAGAGGGCTGGGAATGAGTAGCTAAACTCTAGAAGTTTGAGGAGAAAGCCGGGTACAGAATCCATTATCCTGGATCATCTAAGCCAAACCAATGTTATACCCTGTAATGGATTGACATACAGCTCACATAACTTTAAGAGCTTGCAGAGATTAAAGAAAAATGATTACTGTTCTGATGGGAAGCTGAAAGCTGGCCCTAAATTCTTAGGAGAATGTTTTATGGACCATTATTTTTGGGGGGGGGGGTAAGTATGCATCTGTACGCATGGCAGTTTTAAGTTATTAGTTTTCAAACTGGGTACATTTTTTTCAAATTATTTATTTTTATTTTATTTGCATTGGTGTTCTGCCTGCATAGATATCTATGAGGGTGTCAGATTCCCTGGAACTGGAGATACAAACACTTGTGAGCTGCCATGTGGGTGCTGGGAATTGAATTCCAGTCCTCTGGAAGAGCAGCCAGTGCTCTTAACCACTGAGCCATCTCTCTAGCCCAAAATCAGTACATTTTAATGAAGAAAAAAAAAAAACTTGACCAAAAATCTGTCTCAGAATTTTGAGATCCATTAAAAGAAGTTTAACAAAAAAAAAAAGTCAAACATTTTGCATAGATACAGAAATGCTCTGAATATAAAAGCAGTCAATATTAAAATCCCACACCTTGAAGGCAGACTGTTTAGTTAAATATGGGCTAATCATTCATAAGGGTATAAAAAATAAAGGGAAAGAGAAGCATATATAAGCAAAATACATTGGAATGTTCAACAGAAAGCAAGCCAATGATGGCCAGGTGGTGGTGGTACACACCTCTACTGCCAGCACTCAGGGGGCAGAGGAGGCCAATCTCTGAATGGAAGATCTGCCTGTCTACAGAGTAAGTTCCAGGACAGCCAGGGCTATATGGAGAAACCCTGTCTTGGAAAAAAGCAAAACAAACAAACAAAACACAAGGGAAAGAAGGAAAACAAACAAACAAATGAACAAGACCAATGATACTGCTACATACTGATTTCACTGGCAATCCTATCCTTAGCACAGAAATGAATAGAGTCTAGCCACCCATAATTAAGCACTTCAGCCTCACTAGTAAGAAACTGTCTTTTTTTAAATTTACTTTTTTTTGAGACTACAAGTACTTTCTCCCTTACCTTTCCTCCCTCCTGTCCTTCCATTATACTCTTCCTTGCTCTCTTTCAAATTTAGGACCCCCTTTTCATTAATTGTTGTTATATATATTTCTAAATACAACCTGCTTAGTCTGTATAATGTTACTTGTATGGTTTGGGGTTATATGTTGGTTTGTTTGTTTGTTTTGGATTCACCAATGTCCTTGAAATACGTGTGGCAGCTAGTCTTGACTGTCAACTTGAAGGAATTTAGAATCATCTAGGAAATACATCTTTGGCTAATACTTCATACTGATCCAGTTTTCTGCATAGTCAGAATTATTATTATACATCATGTAGTCTGTTCTGGTGACAATCTTATCTCTGATTTATTAAGCTGACATTCAGTTTCTTGAGCTTGATTAATGTTAGTCTTCATGATAAAACTATGTCAAACCGGATTTCTCAAACATCAACTTTCTAAGACTGCCTCACAAAGAAAGCCAATGTTCCCCTAGGCTTGAACTAACCTAGATATCTCTATGGAATAATTTATGTATGTACACACAGATATAGCCACCCTGAGCTATATACTATACATGGTGGGAGGAGACAATAAGACCATAAAAACTGAAGAGGATAAATAGGAAAGTGAAAACAACAAAATGTTTAGGTGATAACATACACTTTTTTTTTTTACTTATTGTTTATTTATGTTTCTGTGTAAGTGGATGTCGTGTGTGAGCTTTATCAGCGAAGAACAGAAAAGAGCATCAGATCTCCTGAAGCTGGAATAGACATGACATGTGTAATATAGCTAATGAGAATAGGGTGTCCATTGTGTACCCTTCAACTTTCCAGTAGGGCATAACTTTTTTTAGGAATACATGTATTATGACATGTGAAAATTAGTAACACCAAATTTAGTTTCTTATGTTACTGGTTCATACTTGAAATAAATATCTCATTAAACTAGATCACATCTTAGTTTATATACAGTGAAGGACTGGCAAGATAAGCTTCATACCTAATACTTACATTGTGACTATGGCAAAATCCAATTCCATTAATAATCTGAAACAAATACTTTTGAACTACTTGATAGTCTAGTCCATTTGGAAAGAGCTTCAAGTCATCAAGAATCGTGTGGTCAACAAATTCAAAGACTAGGTACCAACGTTTTTTTTTCTTACATACTTCCAACAGATTCACCAAATTTTCATGCCGCAGTTGCTGTTATTAAAAATATATATAAAATAATTTTTAGATCAAGTTATGAGCAATTAGCTATCATTTAAAAGATATTAGTGTAAGAAAAACATATAAGTAAAATGCATAAACAATGCTCATTATAAAAGTATGTTCAAGCTTTAAAATAACAGTCAAAAGAGCATATTGTTCCTTTTCCTCTCAGAGAACACAATAAAGCCAGTTCTTAAAAATCACAAGAACAGAACAGTACTCAGGACTAACAAGGAAAGGCAGGCTGAATAACAGTCACACAGAGACACTTGCTAAAAGAATCTATCAGACAAAATAAACAATTTCATTACCAAAAAAAACTCAAAAAGTACAAATTCAGAGAAACTGAGATCCAACAGTCAGCCCTATGATATAAAGAAACGATTACAAACCATAGTGGATTTCTGTTACCTCCAGCAAAATCCTGATGCTCTACAAGTACCACATTACCATAAAATTCAAAGTCTTCAAGGGGCTGAAGGTACAGCTCAGTAACAGAGCTGGCCAGCATGAGCGAGGCCCTGGGTTCATCTACAATCAAAGAGGAAGGAAGGGAAGGAGGGAGGAGGGACAGACAGATGGGACGATTATCCCAAAGTCTGTTCAGCCATGCTACATATATGAAAGGAGTAAAACAAACAGCAAGTTGGCACTCCCCAAATAGAAATAAAACAGTGTTGCCACCTGTAAAAGGAAGAAATCACCAGAGTATGTGATCCAATAACTGTGTTTAATCAAACTAAATTTAGGTAAAAAAAAAAAAAGGGGGGGACAATCTTGAACATGGAAAATTAATCAAATTAAATTTAGGTAAAAAAAAGGGACAATCTTGAACATGGAAAATTAATCAATTTCATATAGGGACAAACCTTATTGAAATATGGGCATCATGGCTATGAAACAGAAAGTGTATATTTTATTTTTTTATTTTTATATTCTTTGAGACAGTCTCTTTATTACATAGGTCTGGCTATCCTGGGACCAGGATATTACCTGGTCATAGGCCAGGCTGGCCTCAAACTCAGAGAACTCCACCTGCCTCTGCCTCTGGAATGCTGGGATTAAAAGTATGTACTACCATACCTGGCTATAAATCTTTATTTTTAAAAGTGCAAAAAGAGGGACAGCTAACTTCTCATAGGAACATTGAGAGACAGCAAAACAGTGGAATCAAATTTTAAACATAATGTAATGAACTCAAATAATTCTGTTTTCTGTGGATATAGTCTTTTAAAAACAAAGTAAAACAAAAATATTTTTTTGGGACTGACAAAAATGAGGAGCATTCCTTGCTAACATGTATGCTTTAAAGAAAATAAAAGATTTAGTTCTTTACTTTCATTTTTCTTTTTAGGCAGAGATTCAAGTAGCCTTTATCCTCTTGCATCAGCCTCCCATGTACTGGGATTATAAATGTAAGCCACCTGACTGGCTAATGAATTTACTTTAAAGCAAGACAAATGATACCAGGGAAGAAGCTGAGAAACAGAGGAAACACAGAAGAATAATGTAAAAGACAAATCTTAAATATATCCCAACATATGCCGACTGCAAATATTTAACAATACAGACAATTAGAACCCATGAAGGTAATAACACACATATCTCTTGTAATGGGAGGGGATGAAACAGAGGGGTAAGTACTGTCACAGGCCACTAGACCTTAGCACAGCTAACCCCATGGGGCAAGTACCATGTATGCTGTAAAACTCAGCATGTGGACAGCACCATCTGCCAAAACGAAAACAAAGGCACAATCCATGCAAGTTACAGGAAACTGTCTAAATGTACTGTACTTGCTTTTTGGCTTCTGTAGTTCTGCTTCTGGCTGTTCTTGTTAACTGAATTATGTCAACTCAGGGCATGTTTTTTGTGCTTAAAAGCTCACCCTGAGAAAGCCTCAGGGATACACTGGGATCCTGAATACCCAGTATAGTTGCTGACTGGCTAATAGACTTTCTATTGGCTTAAATTCAAGTCTTCTCTGATGAATACCGCACAGTAAGTAGAGTTAAAATGTCTAAGAGTCTTCATTGCAAAAGCAGCAATTTGGAGTATTAGTAAGTTAAGTAACTTTCCTGTAATTTCTTTTTTTTTATTTTTTTATTAATTTATATGAGTACACTGTAGTTGTCTTCAGACACACCATAAGAGGGCATCAGTTTGCATTACAGATGGTTGTGAGCCACCATGTGGTTGCTGGGAATTGAACTCAGGACCTATGGAAGAACAGCCAGTGCTCTTAACCGCTGAGCCATCTCTCTAGCCCCCTTTCCTGTAATTTCTAAAAGACTGGAAAAAGAATAAATGATAGAAGAATTAAAGAGACTATAGAAGACAACAGGAAACTAACGAATAGAAATCTAAATGTATGAGTAACAGTATTGTGTGTGTTCTGTGGAGAATGATTTGTGATAGCCATGCACTTGGTTCAGAATGAGTGAGTCTATTAAGGATATAACAAGCCAAAATAAAGGAACAAATGATCAGACAGCAGACATACAGAAGCAATGGAGCGCAAGACATCTTCAAATGAAGTGCTTACAACATCCAACAGAAACTGACTGGGGAAACTCCAACTGGAGTTCCCAATTGAGAGTTCTGGAAAGAGCAGAAGGTCCCCCTTCAGTGACGCTTCCAAGTAAAACAACAAACAGCACATAGACCACAGAGCACCACCAAATAATGTATTTACAGCAGCCAGCAGAAGGGACTAGAGAAGTCCTAACAACATTCTAGTTGAAGTCCCTTACTCAAAGTCCTAGGCAGAGAATTCTCTCTCCATGGATGAGCTTCTGGCTTCTTGTTCCCTCCACAGGGACTTTTATACCATGGGAGAAGCAACAGCAGCCTATGTTGAAAAGGTTTATGTTCTAGCTCTTCTCCAGGAAGAAAGGTTAATACACATCCTAACCAAAAGAAACCAAGAGACCAACCTGAACAGAGAATTTTAGAGGACACACAGAATAAACATGCTTTAGTCTGGGAAGTGGGGGCCCTTCTCATTCTCAGAGTCCACTTTCAACAAGTACAAACAACAGAAGACAATGCCAGTATACTTTATAGTGTAAAAATACTAAACATGTGACTGATGATACAAAACACAAACTCTCTATTTATAAGGTATACACTTACATCCAAGACCACACAGAGGTTAATAGACAAACAAGATTAAAAGGTAATTGGATGCTTATAAAATGCTGGAATAACCATACTAATATGAAAGTATAATTAATAAAACCAAAAGTTGGGCTAGATGATAATTTGTTTCTTCTTATTGTCAAAAATACACTAATCCTTTGGATTTGGGGGAGGGGTTGTTGTTGCTTATTTTGAGAGAGAGTTTCTCTGTGTATCCCTGGCTGGCATGAAAGTTGCTATGTTGACTGGGCTGGCTTCCAGCTTGCAGAGACCCACTTGCCTCTGTTTCCCTAGTGCTGTGACTACAGACATCCACACCAAGCCTGAATTTTCTTATAACAAAACAAATGTAAAAACACAGGGCTAAGGAAATAGCTAAGGAGCAAAGCACAAGGTCTGAATTCAGGCCCCAGAACCTACAGAAAAAGTCAGGTATGAGATTGTGTGCTGGGGAGGGGAAGGCATCAGACTGGGGTTCACTGGCAAGCCAGTCTACTTTACTTGGCGAGTTCCTGGGTGGCCAGCACCTAAGTAGTAACACTAAGCTTGTCCTCTGGCTTCTACATGTACATACACATGTGCAACCCCATCTGCATGCATGTGCATGCATGTGGGCACACATACACATATATACCACACACATTCACACACTCACAAATGTACACACATACACATAGTCACACACATACACATAGTCTCTCACACACACACCACAATGATGTTTTCCTTCAAATGCAACACAGTCTTGAACAAGAAGCAGCTTCCTTTTCAGCTCATGTACACTCTTACCTTCAGTAACTTGATTTCTCGCATAGCGATCTTCTTAACCATTTTATCATCGTCGCTTTCTAAGAACTTCTTAATGGCCACAATTCTTCCACTGTCTTTGTTCCTACACTTCATCACCATTCCGTAACTCCCCTCTCCAACCAAGCCTAGGTTCTCATACTTTTCCATTTTGCTTTAAAACCAGTAGGAACTTTTCTTGCTGTAGAAACCAAAGCATAGCATTAAGAGTGCTGAGCGTCCATTTCCTCCAATCTCCCAGACAACTCACTCTTGTAAGGTTATTTCCCTTGTCATAGCAATCACTGAATTCACAGCGATCTATGATGACACAATTTCTTGCCATTCCAAAATGTGTATACAATTTAAAAATAGACAATGCATTGGACGGTAGTAGTACACGCCTTTAATACCAGAGAGGCAGAGAAGCAGAGAGAGGCAGAGAGAGGCAGGGAGAGGCAGAGAGGCAGAGAGAGGCAGAGAGAGGCAGAGAGGCAGAGAGGCAGAGAGGCAGAGAGGCAGAGAGGCAGAGAGGCAGAGAGAGAGGCAAGGAGGCAGGGAGGCAGGGAGGCAGGGAGGCAGGGAGGCAGGGAGGCAGGGAGGCAGGGAGGCAGGGAGGCAGAGAGGCAGAGAGGCAGAGAGGCAGAGAGGCAGGGAGGCAGAGAGAGAGGCAGAGAGGCAGAGAGGCAGAGAGGCAGAGAGGCAGAGAGGCAGAGAGGCAG